TGAATTTCTGCAAGACTCACTTGAGAAAAGTTCCAATTGCTGCAAGATTTACCGAGAAATATTTTGAATTGCTACAAAATTCACCCAAGAAAAATTATGAATTGCTACAAAATTCACCAAGAAAAAGTTTAAATTGCTACGAGATTCACCCAAGAAAAATTTTGCAATGCTGCAAGATTCACCAAGAATAAGTTTGAATCGTTACAAGATTCGCCCAAGAAAAATTTTGAATTGCTACAAAATTCACCGAAAAAAATTTTGAATTGCTGCAAGATTCATCTAAAAAAAAGTTTGAATTGCTGCAAGATTCACCCAAGAAAAATTTTGAATTGCTACAAAATTCACCGAGAAAAAGTTTAAATTGCTACAAGATTCACCCAAGAAAAATTTTGCAATGTTGCAAGATTCACCGAGAAAAATTTTGAATTGCTACAAAATTCACCGAGAAAAAGTTTAAATTGCTACAAGATTCACCCAAGAAAAATTTTGCAATGTTGCAAGATTCACCGAGAAAAATTTTGAATTGCTACAAAATTCACCGAGAAAAAGTTTAAATTGCTACAAGATTCACCCAAGAAAAATTTTGAATTGCTACAAAATTCACCGAGAAAAGTTTTGAGTTGCCGCAAGATTGGCCCAAAAAAATTCCCAACGCAAAATGTCAAAAATTCTCCATCCACACGACACGAAAGCTTCGTCGAACCAATAAGCTCCCAATGGATCGCCCAATCGTTCCCGAAATTTCTCCGCATTAACGGAACATAAAACACCCTATCGCATTACAAGCGTATCGCGGTGCATCAAAAGCAACGCGCCACGCGGCTCCGGTAATATGAATTATACGGGCGTGATGCGAGGAGAGAAGAGGTTTCGTGAAAATAACCCCGCGACGCTCTCGGTGCGTGACGCGCGACAGAACGTCGGGACGCCAGCGCATCCATCATTCCGGCAACCGGTTATCTCCGCCGGTGGAACAGGGACAGACGGAGGAAACGAAATTGTAAAGGGAGACGCCGGCTACCGCGGCTACTCGGCCCCGACTGTATCGCGGAGCTACGACTATATCGAGCCACGCGCCTCCAACGTGTAATTATTTATACCGCGCGAGGGAGGCAGAGCCTCTCTCTCTCTTCCTTCTTCTCCTCCTTCGCTCTTTACGCGCCGATCTATTGTGCCTCGTCGAGGATGCCACGTTGTTTGGGGACAAATGTCACGAGTGATAGAAACGTCATCGCACGATCTTTCAGGAAAATATAAAAGCACCCTTGGCAACTCGATGTTACTTTGTTTCGACCATTTGGCAAATTTCGGGGAACGGATTTCTGTACTGTTCCGTTAATTTCTTTAGTTAGAGTTAGTTTTACGGGAAGACTTTTTGTTAGATTATACGAGAATAGGTGAGCACTAGAGCAGGGGTTCCCAAAGTGCGGCCCGCGATGGCAGAATTTACACAGATAATTTACATTTTTACAAAAAAATAACTAAATTTTATCATATTATAATTAAAAATTATAGAAGACAGAAGAATTATAGCTGACACAGTATTTCTCTTGGAAATTATTAACAACGTTATCGAACGTCCACCCCCACTTCAATACCTGCCCTCGTCCTTTACGCGAGAGTCCTGTATTTAAACTGGATTCCCTCACAACAGATGCAAGATTCAACGATCCGATCGCGAATTTTCGACAGGCTTCGTTTCTTCTTTGGCACTGCGGACAGTTGCAGGCAAACTTTAAAGAAACTTACAAACAGCAATTAACTGCGTTACGCGTTGTCGCTATTCGACTTTGTGTAATTTCATTGTACTATTGGGCTCTTTTTCTCGCCCGTTTGAATGAATAAATAAATAAAATAAAAATTCTTCAGTTAAAAAAATACTAAATTTCATATGTAATGTATCTTGTTATTATGTAGATTGTATATATTTTATTGCCTTAACGGCCAATGGCCGTAATTGTCTTAACGGCCCGCCAAATATTTTCGAATTTACAATTTGGCCCACCTAGGCAAATCTTCGGGAACCCCTGCTCTAGAGGTAGAAATACTGACGAACGCAGATTTGTAAGACTCTGTCAATCTGTGTTACGAAGGAGTGAGTGGAAATATTGAGAAAATTGAAAAGGTTGACGAGTATATTTGAGGCGAGAAAGGTTGAGCAGGTCTAAGCTAAGATTTATTAATTGCAATAGCTGATTAATGAATGTGAATAGTAGCTAGAAAGTTAGCGAGCTCGAAGAAGTTAGCATGGAAATATTGTACAAGGTGGTGATTTCTCATGCAAAAATAAGTGAAAAGTGTAGAATGAGATTTGTTTATCAGAGGCTTAGTTTTTGGGAAAATCAAAAGTTTGCACTTGCAAGAGAGTATACCGGAGTGATAATCACCGATTTTGATGAAACTTTGGTATATACACATCGTTCAAAATAAGAATAACCTCGCTCTCGGACCAATTCTCGTCCGTTCTGCGCATAGACAGAGAGCGTAGCAGAGGGTAAGATGGAGAAAAACGTAGGCACGTTCTAGCCCTACCTTGGGCACGTCCCATGCGCGAAACGAGGTTACTCTTATTTTGAACGGACAGTAGAGTAGTCCTGAAAAAGTATTCAGAGCGTATTTTTTTATATCGGCAATCGTCCACAGTGAAGGGGGGGTGAAAATAGCCCTCAAAGCCTCTCGAAAATTATTAGAGGTAGAGGATTAGTGTAAATTGACCGAATTTAATGTTTTTCAACGGCAAATTTGAAACGTAAAAAATAAATGATTTTAATAAAATGTGGTCTTGTTACCCTCATCTTTGAGGGCGATTTTCACTCCTTCAGTGCGGTCGATTTCTCGTAAAAAGAAATACATGTCAAATATTTTTTTCAGTACTAGATACCGTGTACAAAAGTTTCATCAAATATCACTTTAGGGTGTTCACGAAAACACCAAGACAAAACTTTATTATATAGGAGACATCGTACAAACGTACGCAACGAATTTTCTCAAAAACTAAGCCTCGGATGAACAAATTTTATTCTACATTTATTTTTTTATTTTTTTTGCGTAAGGACAATACTTTGCTTATTCAACACTTTCGTCCACACCCTGTACGTATACATTCTAGTAACATAATTCACGCTCCATTCATAAATTCTAAAAAAGATGCAACAATTAAATTCTCCACTTCCTTCCCTAATTTTCGTAAATTGAAATTTTCCGCACAAGAGCATCGGAAGTCGTATTTTCCTCGCAAAACTGAACAACTCCAGCAGTATTTACAAATGCTAAAAACAGATAAATTTCAAATCAACTCCGTGTTCAACGTTAAAACCCGCTAACTAACTCGCTCGTTCCACTAATGAGTTTAAAGTGTCTGTCTAGCTGTAGTACACACTAAGGTGACGATACGATACTTGATATGGTACGAGCATAATAGCTGTCCTAATACTTCCGAACGACAGTGTACATCTATAAAGTGTACCTCGTACACGCGAGCCAACAAGATATCAAAGAGAGGCTCGTGCCAACAGTGGACATACATACCTTGTGAACAACTTGTCTCTCTTCCAGAAAATAGATCAAACCGTGTTACAGACGTTCGTATATGTGTCGAAACCACGGCAAAAGCTGCTTCCATTGTCAAAGCGTCGCTCTACAAAAGAAAGAAAGAAAAAGGTAAGGTGAATATTTCACGAGGCAGGCTTGTTCGAACTTTCGCAGCGCAAATTTGATTATCGCTCAGAAAAAGAGAGATTTATGCTGGAAGACTCGTGATGCACACCTGGACAAAGGTGTAGAGCTCGCGTGAGCACACACGGAGTAGAAGTTAGGTGGAAACTATGCGACCAGCAGAGTCGGTCGTTGTTGTTCACGCACGAGACACGTGAAGTTTCGGGCTTGTTTAAGAAGAACGAAGAAGAAGGAGAAGAAAACAAAGAAGTGGTAGGAGAGAAGGGAACCAGGCTGAAGGGCTACTTTTCGGCCGTAGTCTGGCAGACAATCGTAAAAGCCCGAACGATCTCCCTGCGCGAATTATAGGCCGCGGTTCTTCCTTGCGAGAATACGTCTATCCACGAGAGTGTGTGCCAGTGTTGTCCAATATATCCTTCCATTCGCCCACTGTTTCTTCTTCCTCCGGTCTCGATTGTGCAGAGAAAGAATCGGTGTACCGTTGCAGCGGGGGAGAGTAGGGGAGTTACGAACACCTGAGGAAAAAATTGAACGAAACGAAATATTACAAAGGTATAATAGTAACTTTTTTATCGTTTATATATTTTTATAACGAATTTTAAGAAGATTTCCTAACTCTAATCACAAGCGCTACGCTGCACTTTTGTAACGCATAAGAAAAGTAGACGAAGTAACTTTCTTGAAAAAAGTAGACGAAGACGAGGAAAAATCTTCGATAGTTTCAACTGTTTTGCATTGACCTGGCATTGCATTCGGTACGAGCGATCGTCTGGCGAAAGGAAGAATTGTTCACGCTTTTCCAACACCGTATAAACGCGACTCTCCCCTATTCAACACCAAAAATCGCCAACCATTTCTACGCTTAGGACCAATTTCCGCGAGATCCGTCGGTGACGAACAGGTGCAATTAGCGCATTGCGTTCTGTCTGTGCGTTACAGCTGGCCGAGTGGCACGCGAGACTCGAGACGACGCAGGATTAAATTAAGCGTCGCATCTAGCGGGACGAGCAGCGTCTCTCCCGCGGATCTGCCTTGCCAATTTCGCGTTCGGCGAACCGCAGCGTCTCTCCGCGACGTATAATCCCGGCTGCGACATCGATTAATAAACGTCTCTTCTTCTACTCCGAGATCTCGCGTCTCTCGAGGCGAAATTTACCGTTAACACGGTGTGTCGCTCGACAAAAAGTTTGCCGTAGCCCTGTTAAACACGGGAAGAAAGAATCGAACGCGAGAGTAGTAGTGAAGCAATATTGTCTTAGAAAGCGAGCGACAACGGTGTGACGGAAAACCAACAGGACTTTCTACACGTGTTCTTCTTTTTCCAGGTACATGAAATACCTGTATCCGTACGAGTGCGAGAAGAGACGACTGTCGACGCCCGCGGAGCTCCAGGCGGCGATCGACGGAAATCGACGCGAGGGACGTCGAAGCAGTTACGGAGCTTACGCGGCGAGCGGCGGCGCGACGGCCGATGGTTTGGTCCAGAGGAACCCTCACACGCCCAATTCACTCGCGTTGCACGCCCAAATGTCGCCGTTGTCTCTGGTCACGGCTGTCGCAGCCGGCGGACAACATCACGGTCCTCAGTCCTTGGTGAACGGAAGCGCCGCGCACACACCTCTGCCTCACCATCCGCATCACCCGCAACACCCTCAAGGACTACCTGGACAGCCACCAAACGCAGGTCAGTTTTTCAGGATTCTCTGTCGTTTCGTTCTGCACGATTGTGCTGATCTAGAGAGAAAGAGTTCTTTCTTTTTGGAGAAGCGGGTAAAAAACGGAGAAAAAAGAAATACAGCGGAAACGAGAGAGAGAATTGAGGCTGAAGAAAAAGGGTCGGAATGATGAAAAGTTAGCGGTACGCGAGGAGACAGATGCGAGGAATGGAGAGGAAAGAGATAGGGAGAGAATGAAAGGGAGTATAGAGAAGAGGAGCGGGTTTATTTTAAATCGGTAGTTAGGGTTTCCAGGCCTCCCCGGAGATGATGATGCGAGAGCGAAGGAGGCGTAATTGATTGTACGATCCTCCGGGAGACAGGCGTTAACGGATGACTCTCGCTAACGAGCATTCCTACTTCCCTACCCCTTTCTTCCTCCTTCTCGACCCCCTACCACACAGACGCACCACCGCGGTTCGCCCCTTTCGTCCTGTTTCCGCCACCCTCTCACGACCGACCAATTTCGTTGCTGCAACTTTCTGCACCCTTCTCGCGTTCGCGCCGCCCCTACTATTTTACGTTTGCGTCCTGTGTCGGGTGCTGTATCTACTGAATTTTCCTCTTTCGTTTCCTTTTCTCTTAAATGGTGAAAACGTGAGTTTAAATTACGCGGTGATTCGGTAGAAAGAAACGAAAAATTCTTTTCCTCTAATGCTAGAAAATTTGTTTTCTTTCGTTTCCTTTTCTTAAACGGTGAAAAACCGGTGAATGAATTCAAATTCAAAAGAGAGAGAAAACGGAGGATTAGCGCTATGTTAATCAAGCAAAGGGAAGAGCTATAATTCAGCTAGGCAGCGACGAAGCCGCATCTTCGAACGGCTCATTTGTCGGGACGTCGAAACGGCAGTTCGGTCCAGACACGCTATGTACGATCTCCTTTCTCGGTTTCCTCCAGCCGTTTTCTTCCTCGTCTCCGCCGTGTGTCGGATGGAGCCACGCCAATCATCGTCCGCTCGTCGCTTTAATTTACCATCCTGGGCCGCGCGACAGCTTCTGCTTTATAAACGGGCCTGATTGACGTGGACCATCGTTTGATCAATTCGTCGCTTTCATCTGCTACGATCGAAATGTTAATTGCGACCAACTGCAGGACCGATCCCGGGGATGGCGCCGTCCGAGTTCGAGGCACGTATGGTCGAGTACGTGAAGCTGCTGAACAAAGAGCTGAGGAGCGCTGGCGCCGGTACACCACCACCGATGATCCATCGACAGGGAAGCGCGTCTCCTCCGTCCTCGACACCACCTAGAGACGGTGCTTTCAGCGCGTTGGAGATGTCTCGACTCACCCTGTGGAACATGTACAACAACAACACCCTCTATCCAGGTGTTGGTCATCAGCCACCTTTATCCCCGCAGACCTCGCACTCGCCGGTACCTCCAGCATCTAGCCCCGAACCTCAGAGGGAAGCTCTCGATCTTGGGCTTAGGTAAGAATCCTCAGCCGTTCGATTGAATTTGCCAGCTTCTGAAAGGCATATATAGTGTGTTTAAAAAAAGACGTTTGTGGTTTAATTTGATTAGGTCGTCACCCGTGTCGTCGTCGCCTGCGAGACAAAGTTCACCGTCTTCGGGCGGCAGCGTGCAGGTGAAGAGGGATCCAGACCTGACAGGAACACCTGGACCTCCACCGGCGAAAAGGTTACTCTCGGACGACGACAGTCCGATGGAGAAACACGCAACAGCCTCTGTAGGCACGCACATTAAAATTTCCAACCGAGGTGAGTGTGTACGGGATCATCGGGGCTTTTGTGGTTATTGAAAGGAGCGACGATAGGGAGGAAATAGAGAGGGCGGTTTGGCTGTGGGTGTTAGAGTCACGGCTTGGGATCTCGGATTTTTCTTGGGCTCCTGCAATTGGGGCTCGTCTAAGATGGAGGCATCTACGACCACTTGAGGCAATGACGAAGACGAAACGATGTTGTTTTGTGAAGAAATGTGCGACAAGGTTTGCACGTCTCCCGGGGAGTTTCGGATGTGAGTTGCTACTAAGTGGGAAAGTGTATCCGAAAATGTTGAGGGAGAGAGAGACAGACTGACAGACAGAGAGAAGAGAGAGAGAGGGAGAGATAGGAGAGCAGAGGAGAGAGAATGTCCAAGGAGGCAGATGAGAAATGGAGAGTAGAAGCAGCGTCAAGGAAGAGAACAGAGAGAATCCAGAGAGAGAGACAGAGACAGAGACAGAAAGGAAAACAGAGAGAGAGGAGAGACAGAAAGAGAGAGAAGAGAAAGGAGGGAGATGAAAAGTACAGAGGAGAAGCAGATTTCAGGGAGAGAGGACAGAGAGAAGAGAGAGAGTTGAAGTGCACTTAGGACATTCGAAGACGACTAATATCAGCGCAAAATGGCCAAGTGTCGGATCGAAGAAGCCTCCATGCCCATCAAAAAATGAAATAATAGCGAGGAACTAAAAGGGGGAGCGCCTGGGCCTCTATGTCAAAGGTCACAGGTTCGATTCCCGCTTGGTGGTCCCCAAAATTTGTCTTCTGCTCCTGGAGAGGTACAGAGGCCTGGCGAGCCTACTGTTCTCCAAAGAGACCTATTCAATTTTCCACAACAATCTAACATCTCGAAATTTCACGGTGCCGCAATTTTCTGATTACAGGAGACGGAAGGAACGGTGATAATTCCCTAGTAGTTAGTATGGAGCTGAACGGAGTGATGTACCAGGGGGTTCTATTCGCCCAGAGCGACAGCAGAACCGCGACAAGTACGGCGAACAGCAACAATAGCAACGCGAAGGCGTCGCGGAGCGTGGTCTCGTGAACGAGCAACGACCAACAACCCAGCCTAATCCACGATGTGTCTCGATACTTCATCCATCATTAGCATTATTCATCTGTAGCGATATAGCCGGCTCGTGAACGCGGCGGGGACGAAGTAGTCTGCCATAATAAAACGTTTTAAATCTCCAACCGAGATCTATCGGAAGGCTCCCTTTCATCTTTCGTAATTGTACAAAATCAGAAATGTTACGTTCCTCCTCGAGTAGGATATTCTCGGATCCGGGGAAAAGTTCTGTTCAGATGTGTTCACAAGTTCGTGTACTCTAACGTTGTCTGCGGTCTCCGTTCGTAAGATCTTCGAGGGACGATCGTTCGTTGTTAGGTTGTTTCCGGTCGTTCGAACACGTTCTTCTTGTCACGAGAAGCTCCGAGAATTCGTGTTGTGATATTAGGTGCACGCGCGTCCAGCTGATCGTCTCGATGCTTGCCCGATATTATTGTATCTTTGTTTTATCGTTTCTCTGACTTTGCTCGGGTACACGAGGATCGTGTGTACCGTTGGATATATGGATGGATGATGAGCGAACGCTAGAAAAAAAAAGACGTGTTCAGATTAAGTTTAAGTGATTTTTTCCTTTTAGACGATTTATAGACGATATATAACGGATGGACAATGAATCGAGCTGCGCCAAGTCTCCTTTCACCTATGAGTTTTTCTCGCAAGTTCGTTTTTCTTCTTTTTTTTTTTTATAAATATTCGTAAGAGGGGTTCGTCGTTAGTATTTGTTAAAGCTGCATGCACGAAAACTAGCCTGCCCAGCACCCCGCGGTAGGAATTGTATAAACGCGTTAGTACGACGACGACGACGACGATGATCGAGAGATAAATAGACGATCTTATGAACTCTTATGGCAGGCTGCTTCGCTTCGACGACGATCGAAACGTTATTGTGTGAATAGTAATGTATGTATGATTTGTGTGCAATGAAACGAAGAAAGATGTCTTTTTTAATTATACTTCTCTAAGCCTTTTGCGTTCCTTTCATTCAAGAGGACTTCTCTCGGTGTGTCAATCGCCCACGTGTAGTACATATATCTCGATAATTGTCTCTCCTTTCGTTCGGCCTTAAGGGGACGATTGTAAAGAATGGTGAAAAATA